GGCGGTGGTCTCAACTCCCAGATGTCTGACTCCAAGAGCGGAGTCTCCAGGATTTGCTGCCGCCACGGCTGGCACGCTGCAACCCTGCGGCTGTCTCCGACCATCTCGTGCACCCGAAAATGGATCGGCTGCTTGGTCCACGCCGCATCGAAGCACTGGCGGGCGACCTGGACCACAGTCAAATTCCGCATGCAGCGGCCGCCATCACCTGTGTCGATGAACTCAGGAGCGACGCCCTTCATTCCGTAGCGGTCCTCCAGCGGCTCCCAGCGCATGCTGGTAAACGTTGGCCTCCAGGGCTTCCCATAGTGAACGGCGACTTGGTACAGCCTCTCAGCTCCTTCGGATTGACCTGCTGGTGGGACGAGAGCAGACCCAGGGACAGCGCCCGAACTCGACGCTGGGCCATGTGCTGGGGCGCCCGCGCACGTGAACCTGAGCACCAGCACGCCATCAGCCAGCTTCGCGAGGAACACCTTCTCGCCCAAGGTGCGCGACCAGACGCGCCAAACAACCTGCAGCTGGCCGTGGAACTTTTTCACGACGACCGCAGGGCCACTGCAAATGCAATAACCCGCCTCCCAGCACATGCGACGCGGCCTCTTGGGCGCGTCCAGCACGGGGCACTCCGCCTCGGTGGTGTGCTTGTGAAGCTTCGCCCACTCGTTGGCCTCCCGCTTGATGGAGCTAATGTCCAAGGCCCGCAAGACCTCGGAAAGGATAGATGACGGCGTCCTCGTGTACTGCAGCGAAGGGACCATGCAGCGCTGCACCGTCAAGCCAGCAGCGGGCGAGGCGGGCGCGCCCCCAGCCACCAGACTCCAGTCTCGCCCAAGCCCTGGCGACTCGGCGTCCGACTGCTGCTGCAGACGCGCGGCCGCCGCCCTGACCTCGTCAGCATCCATGTTGACCTTGGCCTTGTGCATTTTCATGTCTACCAGCGCGCCCTGGAAGATGACGTTGTCGGAGACGAGCGCGTCCACATCAAACTCGGGCATCGCACCGCTGCCGTCGCCCAGGGGCAAGGCGGCGCTGCGCGCGACCACTCGCCGGCCCGTGCCACTCAGGGGCCTCCCGCGAGAAGCCCTCGCACTGGGCCCGAAAGCCCGCCGACCCGCTAAGTGCTCCTGGATGGCCACTGCCGCCAGGTCCTCGTAGGGCGCGCGCTGCTCCGGAGAGAGGCTGTGAAATCGAGCGGAAAGCTCAGACCCGAGCGACTGGTCTATGAACGCCCCGCCAGCCTCCACGTGGACGAAAGCTCGCCACACCCATGCATTCTTATGATGTGGTCGTTGGGATCGCTCGACCTGCAGCACTCGCTCCCGCCTGGCCTTGCCGCTCACGTAGTCGCCCCAGCACCTGAACACGGACCGCTGCCATTTCCACGCCTGGCGGAACAAGAAGAAGCCCGACAGAGACATGGCGTCAATCCCCCATGTAAAATGTTGCGACTTGCCTTGCATAAGGTTCTCGCTGTGCGAGCGTTCGGCCGCGGCGGAGTTCGTCTGCATCAGGGGCAGCGCACCAGCAAGCTCGGCCCTCGCCATCTCGCCGTCGGCACCGCCTCGCTCGCTGTAGTAGTTCATGAAATCCTCCGTATACGGGTCGAGGGTGCACCTGGGCGCGCGCTCCAGATCACGGAGGCCCTGCGGGTTGCGCAAGCTGCCGTGCGTGATGTGCGGGGTCTTGCTGTGTCTGATTCCCACCAGCTCGCATGCGCTCGCCGATATGCGGGAGCACAGGGTGAACAACTGGAGCTGCTGGACCTCCGTAGGGCGGGAGAGTAAAGGCCACCTGTCATCGAATGCAAGCTCGCCGAACCGCTGCCGAACACGCTTGACATCCATGCAATCGGCCGCCTCCCAGAGAGGATACGTGCGCTGCCCCTGCTCGAGGAGCTTCTTCTGCTGCTTCAACTCCCATTCGATGCCACTCCGCTCAAGCTCCTTCAGAATCATCTCGTTGCAAGGCTCGTGGGAGCGGGTGAAGACGCACAGTGCATCATGATAACGTTCGCCCACGAGCCAATCTATAGTGCGGGACACCTTAGCTGCGTTGTCCTCCCTCCAAACGCTGACTGGGATTACCTTCTCCGCGTCGCCGTCGCCGTCGACCATGCCGAGGTCGCCGCCCTGCCCATCGCCAGCGCCAGCTGGGTCGCCCACGGGCGTGTACATGTGATTGAAAACGACAAGGAAAGCGGACGGGAGGAGGTTGTGGACGAACGAGGCGACGCCGAGCCCACCGAGGCACAGGTGCGCACCTGTCCAATTCTGCCTGTCCATCACGTGGCCCATGTGCTTCGTCAAGCAACGCAGGCCGCTTGTCTGCATCAGATACAGCGTCTGCCCTCTGCTCTTGCAACACCCCGTGCATATGTGCTCAATCCTGTCTGAGCGCCGCAAATTCCCATTCCATCAGCCCTGCACCAATCGTCGCCGAAACCTATCGCTGGATGACCGAACAGGGAGGAACGTGTCATACATGTGCTGGGCGCACGAAGCGTCGGCGTCCTCCATCGAGCCGCCCTGGATGATGACGAGGCGCTCGGCCAAGAGGTCCCGCATCGCCTTCATTATCCGAGGCATGTTGCTCCGCATGGCAAGCTGCATGCGGATGATCATCGTGCCGGTCGGCTTCTGGATCGCGTGCCCCAAGCTCGCAACCTTCGCCTTCTTGTGGGCGTCGCAGTACAGGTGCAGAAGGGCCGACGGGCGCGAGGCAGCATGTTGGCGAGCATTTTCGCACCGAGTATTGCTGCCCGCCTCGTCGGTCATGACGAAGTCCACGCTCCTGAGAAACATGCGCTCCAACTCCAGATCCACGCTGCACTCGAGGTGGGCCAGAGCTGCGTTGGTGGACTCCGCTTTCGTCCCATCCGACGTGTGGAGAACCGTCGGCTCTCTCACCATCAGGGTCAGGAGCTTCGCATTCGGCTGGGATCCCTTCATCAAGCAAAACGCCCGCGATGCACTCGAAACGTGCACCTCGTACTTGGCAGCCGAAGGTTCGATAAACGAGGTAACATCTGACTCGGCCGACACATTCACATTGCCGACGACTCTGACGAACTGCTTCGTCCCGTCGTATGAGCGAAAACGAAAGTGAACCAGAGGACTGAGCGCAGCTCCAGGCCCAGCGCCGCCTCCGCCAGCTCGGCATACCGCCAACAATGACATGGCGAAGCGCTCGAACGTGCCGCGCAGGACCCTGAACGTCGCGTGGCTGATGGCGTCGCAGGTCTCGTGCCACGATGCTGCTGCCACGCCGCACTCAAGGCGAAGCTTATCTGCAGTGGCCAGCGCCGTCGGCCTGTCCACCGCAGCGTCCAGCAAGAAAGCTGCCAGGCGAGGCACTCCAGCAACCAACGTTTCCAATGGCAGCGGCTGCAAGGACCGAGCGAGCGCCTGACCAAGCTTTGACAAAATACGGCGACCGCGCTTCGCCACTGGTGGTGGCGTGTAGGCGGCCGCCGCGGTCACCACGAGCACGCCGTCAAAACTCGGCCTGTCGCTATCGGCCGCTGCCTGCCCAGGCCCGCCTGCCACGCGGGGGGCGATCTCCGCGTCCGCTAGAAAATCCTCGTCGCTCACTGGCTCGGCGACGCGGGGGGCGATCTCGCCGTCCGCTAGAAAATCCCCATCGCTAGAGGGACCACTCGGAGACTTGGCACAGAAGTCTTCGTCCGACGAGCAATCGTCAGACATGCCAGAAAAAAATGCAAAATGCCTTGAGTCAAAGCATTACATGTTCGAACAGACGAAGGGACAAACGGTTGAGCTCGGCTATAAGTCCCCCTGGTACGATTTTTACAGGGCCCGTGGATCTCTGCAGGAAGGTACAACAAAACTTTCTTCCCTCGGGCGCTGGGGGTGGGACCTCATCAATCCTACGCTCTAGAACCCCCCTGCCTATAGCTTTACGACTGGGCAATGTTTCACTAGGGCCTGTGGATCCCTGTAGGGGGGGTACTAGCAAGACATTCTGCCCTCGGGCGCTGGGGGGGGACCTCGTCAAACCTGCGCTCTGGAGCCCACCTACACATTGCTTTACGATTGGGCGCTTTGGGGTTAGGGCCAGTGGATCCCTGCAAGGGGGGGGGCGAAGACATTCATCCCTCGGGCGCTGGGGGGTGACCTCATCAAACCTACGCTCGGGAACCGCCGTACGAGCCCTGAATTGCTGCTGCGTGAGATGATGCGTGCAACTCGCGCATGCAACGCAATGCCGCGTGCAACGCGATGCTTCATGCAATGGACGACAAACACATGTGGTATACAATGCGCATGTAAGGTGTGATAGAATAAGGATGATCAACAAGGGGGGGAAACTGTGGCGATCTAACTATTCTCGGGCCGAGGCGCGCCCCATCAAACCCTGAACCCCAGAATCTCGCAGCCTTTGGCGATCGACCGAAGGGGCGACCCCAGTGACCTCACCAACCCACCATCAGAACCCCATCAACCCCAGACCCTGGGGGGAGGCCCGACTCGAAGATCCAACGGAAGAGGCAAGGCTGCAAGGGCACCCTTGGGAAGGTTGCCCATCCTTACTACCCAGAGATCCGATGTCGTGATCTTTTTCACTGCGGGGTCCCCGGAAGTCTCGACCCATTCCCCAGGACCGGCTTTTCAGCCTGAGTCGTTTCTTGACGGTCCCGGGGCCCAGCGAGGGCCGTTGGAGGCCGAAACGTGTGAAACACCTCCGCCCTCGATTTCTGTCGCCACGCCGGCTCTCTGGGTCTGTGGCCTGGCTGTATAGGATGCTCCTCGGTGGCCCTCGCCGAAGCAAAACTAAAAAAGTGCGCGCGTCCGAGCGATGCCCGACGGCGAGGACGACGGCGGCGACGAGAACGACGGCGACGACGACGACGACGCCGTCCGGCGGTGGCGAGGGCGGCGGCCACACGACGACGGCTACGCCATCGGCGCCGTCGTCGTCGGCGGCGTCATGTCTGAGGGCGGCGTCGGCGTCGGCAACGTGCTGCAGAGAGCCCGCGCCTGGCCCGCGGCGCGGCCGCCCCGCGGCCCTCGCTCTCGGCCCGCGCGCCCGCGGGGGGCCGCGCGCGCGGCGCGGCGGCCTCGAGCTCCCGGGCGAGGCGCCGCGACCTTCGGGCCGGGCGAGAGGGGGGGATAGCAAACCCAGAGATCCAACGCACTGAAAAGAACATAACATTTTTGGGAATATATGTGGGGTATTTTCCAAAAAATGGATCGCCCAGAATGTTGGGAATATTTTTGGAATGTTTTGGGCATAGTTTGGGATTTTCGGAGTCGGGTTGGGCGAAAGGGGGCCGCGACCTTCGGGTCGGGTCGGGTCGACGGGAGGAATACTCAAAAACAGTCCAAAAATAGTCCGGGGACGATTTTGTTGCTATTTTGGGCATTTGGGGAGCATGTTTGGAACATGTTTTGATTTTTCGCCCAAAATCCCCCTGTCGGGGGACACGCCCGACCTAACCCTAATTGGCCCTCCATTCCCAATTGGGGGGGGGGTAGCAAACCCAGAGATCCAACGCACTGAAAAAATCGAGACGGAGGTTTTTCATATTTTTCGGCCTCGAGGGGCTCTCGCCGGGCCCTGGGACCGTCAAAAACGACTCAGGATGAAAAACCGGTCCTGGGGAATGGGTCGAGTTTTCCAGGGACCCCGCATCGAAAAAATCACGACGTCGGATCTCCGGGATAGCAAAGGGAGGTTTGAGAATCAGCTCACGCAGCTGATTCCCAGCGCCAGCGGCGGCTCTGTGTCGAGGAACGGGCCCCTCGGTGAGGCCGAGACCAGCTGGCCGCAGCAGACTTCGTAGCCCCCCCCCTTTCCCCCATCCCCCCCCCGTTTCGTGCGGCCCGAGACCTGGCCGCCAGGAGCTTGTTCTGCCGCTTGTACGTGGTGCTCGCGCCCTGGGGAGCGAAGGGATGGGGGGCGGTGCCCTGAGAGATCCTGGCGTGGCAGCTTTCTCACAACGGGCGTGTTCGCCCAACCTCGGGCCCCCGGATCGATCCGGCTCGCAAAATGACGCAGAAAGATGGGGTCCGGGGCTCTGCGCGTGATTTTCTGCGATGCTGCAATTGTTTTGCAACGTCGGATCTCAGGGTATAGGCGGGGTGCAAGGAACATGCCCGTCTCGGGCACTCGGGCCCGAAGGGCCCCATCTTGGGCCCCAAGACGTCGCGGGGCACGGGGGAGCCCCTGTCCGCAGCCATCGCTGCTCCCCCCTTACGCGTCCTCCGAGGCCCTCGGGGCAAGGCGCCGGGCATACCCACCCTGAGATCCTGGCGCTGCAGTTTTTTCACAGCGGGCGGTTTCGCTGAATTTCGGGCCCAGGACCCTCACTGATCGTTCCAGCTCGAGAACTGACGCCGAAAGGTGGAGTCTGGGGCTCCGGGCAAGATTTATGGCGATGTTGCAATTTTTGCTGCAATGTAGGAACTCAGGGCAGGCGTGCTCGCGGCATGACGAGCAAGGAAACCACATCGGGCGGCGTTCGGCCGTTGTCAGCCTCCGGGGGGGCCATCGCCAGACCCTGGGACCCTCCAGGAGCGCCTCGGGAGGAGAGCCAGCTCGAGTGGAAAGGGTGGAGACATCGGACCTCTGAGTATATACCTGGACCAGTCCTGGCCATAGGCTGCTTCCCCAGACCCCCGACGTAATGATTTTTTCATCACGTCGACCCCCAGAGGTCTGGACCCTTTCCCCATGACCGGCTTTGCATCCTGATTCTTTTTTTGACGCTCCCGAGCCCCGGTGAGGGCCCCCGGAGGCCGAAAATTAGGAAAAACATCCCGTCATGATTTTTTCATTACTCGAGGGGGTCTGGGTCTGCAGGCCCAAGATCGGCCTGGACAGGAGGGCATCTGTACACTGGTCCTCGGCCCGGGATCGGCCTGGCCAGGGTCGGCGCCGCTGCTTCGCGGGACCCTCCGGCCTCGGGGCAGGCGTGGCAGTACAGGCACCCCGCCCGGTTCTGGCAGCCCACGGCCGTCCAGAACCACGAGCAGGGCCTGCAGGCGCCAGTCCCGTGCAGGGCCGAGCCTGGGTTCAGCTGCAGGGCCGCAGGCCGGGGCCAGGCAACGGCGTCGCCCTCGTCCGCCCCTCCTGGGGGAACCACGGAGGTGCCAATACCGACGCAGTCGGGCTGCTGAAAGAAGGAGCGACAAACAAGGAACTAGGCCCCTTCTTGGCCCCACAAGCGCCTGCGTGCACGAGGAAGGCCAGAGGAAAAGCCATGGAAGGACCTAAGGAATATCGAGCCCCTTTCTTACCCAAACTGTTCCTTATTTCAGCGACTTGGCTGTACCCCCAGACCCCCGACGTCATGATATTGTCACGACGTCGACCCCCAGAGGTCTCGATCCATTCCGCGGGACCGGTTTCTCATCCCGAGTTGAGTTTTGACTGTTGGCCCGAAGAGGGCCCCCGGAGGCCGAAAAACTAAGGAAAAGCCTCCCGCTGACTTTTCCAGCATGGGCTCCCCGCACCTCTCCCCGGGTGCGTTCTAGATCGAGGCGGACTCAGCCGCGGCGACGAGGGCCGCCCCTGGAGGCCCGAGACGGCGACAACGAAGGAAGCGTGGCGGCCCTGAGATCCGATGTTGCGAACAAAAGTGCGCCATTGCAGAACATCACGACCAAAGCTCTAAGCCCTACACCCCACCTCCCAGACATGCTCGCGTCATAAAGAAAAATCAGGACGGGGGGGGGTCATCTTCTGCCTCACTGGAGGCCATCGCCGGGCCTTCGGACCGTACAAATACGACTCAGGATAATCCGCCGGCCCCCTTGTGGGGCCACCAGGCTGCGAGGCACGGGTTCGCAGTTTCCAGTGCCAGTTGTAGCTTGTAGTTTCCAGTGTTACACTTCTGCTTCTTGCTGGTTACTGTAACTAGTTGATTGACCGCGCGAGGGGGGGGGAGGGCCAAACCGGATTTTTAGCACCCCCTGGGCGCGTTGTCTGAATTGCTGGGGGGGCTCGAAATCGACACCCCTCACGCAGATCCGCGGGGTCATGGTCCAAAAACACATGGGATTTGCCACATTTCTGAAATTCGGTGCCACCCCTCACGCAGATCCGCGCAAAAACACATGGGATTTGCCACATTTTTGAAATTCGGTGCCACCCCTCACGCAGATCCGCGGGGTCAGGGTCCAAAAACACATGGGATTTGCCACATTTCTAAAAATTCGGTGCCACCCCTCACGCAGATCCGCGGGGTCAGGGTCCAAAAACACATGGGATTTGCCACATTTCTGAAATTCGGTGCCACCCCTCACGCAGATCCGCGGGGTCAGGGTCCAAAAACACAGGGGATTTGCCACATTTCTGAAATTCGGTGCCACCCCTCACGCAGATCCGCGGGGTCAGGGTCCAAAAACACATGGGATTTGCCACATTTCTGAAATTCGGTGCCACCCCTCACACAGATCCGCGGGGTCAGGGTCCAAAAACACAGGGGATTTGCCACATTTCTGAAATTCGGTGCCACCCCTCACGCAGATCCGCGGGGTCAGGGTCCAAAAACACAGGGATTTGCCACATTTCTGAAATTCGGTGCCACCCCTCACGCAGATCCGCGGGGTCAGGGTCCAAAAACACAGGGGATTTGCCACATTTCTGAAATTCGGTGCCACCCCTCACGCACATCCATCGCAAGGCGTGGTAACCCAAACTGCGAGTACTCCCTCGGCCCTTTAATCCCAAGGTGTGGTAACCAAGCTCGTAAACCATACACGTCTTACCAATCGCCCTGTGTGGTAACCCCTCTTGTGATCAGTTGGTTTTGCCGATTGCGAATCGGCCTCGCATGAAGTTCCGATACTGCTGCACGACAGCGCCAAAGCCTCATGACTTAGCTCTTCCATGGCCCATTCTCCGAGAGAGGGGGCCGGCGGCAGGGGGCGAAGCCCTTACGGATAAAATGGCCCCCGGGAAAGGGTCGGGATATCTGGGACCGGGTATCCCAAAAAATCTGGACATCGCATGCCTGGGCTCTCAACTGCATTCTTCGAGGTCGCGAACGACCTGTGAGGGCCCCGGCGCTGGGAACCCCGGGGCTGGGCCCCGCCCCAACACGCCCCGCTCGAAAAATCTGAGACGCCAGAATCGGAGGGGGAACGAAAGGGGGGGATAGCAAAGGGCAGGGTAGAGAATCAGCTCACGTAGCTGATTTTCCCAGCGCCTCCCGGCGCCAGGAGGCGCCGATGTGGAATGGGCCCGGCGGCGGGGCCGAAACCAGCTGCATGCAGCAGATTTCGTAGCCCCCCCTTTCCCGATCCCCCCCTTTCGTTCGGCCCGACAGAATCCCAGATCCGATGTCGTGATTTTTTCAATGCGGGGTCCCCGGAAGTCTCGACCCATTCCCCGGGACCTGTTTCTCACCCTGAGTCGCTTTTTGACGGTCCCGGAGCCCGGCGAGGGCCGCTAGAGGCCGAAAAGCATGGAAAACCTCCGTCTCGATTCTTTCAACACGTTGGATCTCTGGGATCGAAGGGCGCCTCTTCCTTCCCGCCTCCAGGCGCATCTGGACGCGCGACGACGTCCTCCCTGCAGGAGGCTCACAGCAGCAGCGAGAACAGGGGACGGGCAGCGGTCCAGGCCCCCGACGTCAAGCTTTTGCTCACGACGTCGGCCCCCGTGGGCCTCGACGCATGCCCTGGGCCTACGGCGGGCGTGTCCCCCTGCAGGCCCGACTTAGCCCTGGGCCTACGGCGGGGGCATTGGATGAGGAAGGCTTCGATGAGGAATATCCAGGGTCTGGAGGCCAGTGGAACTCCAATCGAGGCTTGGCCATAGATATCTTCGCCGCCCTCATCAGAGAAGGAAACCTCCAGGGCCTGCAGCCTCCCGTGCACGTTCCTGAAGCAACGCCCCCACCGTAGCTTCTTATCCTGCATCGATCGTTTTCAAACGGTATAGGGGCCCCCATGTGGGAGGCCGAAGCCAGCGAAAAGCCTCGCGTCGCGGTCTTTTCATGGCTCTGAGGGGGCCGGCCCTGGGGGTGTCGGTGACTGCCTTTTCCTCCTCCGCCCCTCCGGGCGTGCACGTGGAGTCCGTGCACGTGGGCGTCTGCTGCGCCCACGCGTCTGGGCTGTGGCGGGCCTTGACGGGCAGGTGCTCGGACAGCCGCAGCGGGGAGCGGGCCGGCGACGGCGGCGCCGCCAGCTCGAGCCCGGGCGGCGTCCTGATCAGGTGCCTGCTGTGGGGGCGCGCCAGAAGGCCCAGAGATCCGACGCTTCAAAAAGTCGGCCGGCGGGTTTTTTACCATTCTTGGCCTCCGGAGGGCCTCCGATGGACCTCGGGGCCGCCAGAAGACAATATATAGCACGCCAGGCTGGCCCCGGGGAAATGATCCAAACTTCCGGGGCCCACATCGGAGCAATTGGAGCGCCAGATGTCTGGGGGAGCGGACTACCCACCAAACCACCCCAGCCCAACCCGAAGACCCGAATCTCGCCCGAATTTCGGGTTGGGGGGGGATGCGGGCTCCATGTGTTTTTTCAATGTCCCCCGACCCCCCCCCACTGGAAATGGAGGGCAAATTGAGGCCTTCGGGTTGAGTTGGGGTGGTTTGGTGGTTGGTAAGGAGCAGGGTGTCGCCGGCGACGGCGCTGTCAGCCTTCTCCAAGGCCCACGACGGGAAGCTTTTCGTCCCTGGCTTCGGCCTCTGGCGGCCCTCGTCGGGCCTGTCTGCACCGTCCAAAAAGCAGAAGGAACAAGAACTACCAACAGAAACCTTTGGCACTCCGCGCGGATTTCTTGGATCTGCGCTGGACCCCCCTCCCTGGCGCGCGGAGCGCGCCAGGGGCGGCGCCAGCGCGGATCCAAGAAATCCGCGGGGAGCGTCCAAAAGTTTATGTCTGCAGCGTTTTGTTTTTTTCCTCGACAAGCTCGGCTCGAGGATGCGAAACCGGTCCCGGGGAGCGGGTCGAGACCTCGTGGGGTCGACGTCGTGGCAAAATCATGGCGTCGAGGGCCTGGGCTGGTCGTGGCCGCGTCGCGGCGGGCGGCGCGTGGTGTGCGTCGTCGGCCTCGCGGGGGCCCCCATGGCGGGGCCCCAGAGGGCCGTCCGCGAAACGTTAGTTATGTTGCATCCTCGGGGGACCTTGTCTGTCCCGTCGCGACCCTGTCCGCGTCGAATCCGTGTCGAATCCATGTCGGACGCGCCGGATCCGTGTCGAATCCGTGTCGAATCCGCGCCGAATCCACGCCAGATCCGCGTCGAGTCCGCATCGAGCACGCGTCGGGCCCCCAAAAAGACACCAATTTGGGGGACAGTCGAGGTCTCCCGAAGATGCAACAGAAGAAACGACCCCGGGGAACGAGCAAGAAGACGCTCCCGAGACGCGCTGCAAGTGCCGGCGGCCGGCTGCGGGGATCCCGGCTCCAGAGAGAGAGCTCCGGGGCTATAAGCTGCGCTGCCGGCTGCTGACCTGGCACCCTCCTAGCTTCCCTCGAGCGGTCCAGTCCAGTAGAAGCCTGGACAGAAGGCCCACGCGGGTCCACGCTGGGGAAAGAGTATGCCGGCGTCCGAGATCGGGACTGAAGGCCTCTGGGCGCTATGGCGAAGTCCAGCCCGAGGAGCACCGCAGACAGATGGGGTCTACAGTGCCGAGGCCGATTGGCAGGTCGGCTCCGCCAAAAAAGTGTGACGGCGTCCGAGATCGGGACTGAGGGCCTCTGGGCGCCCTGGAGGCTCTCACCGCCGAGGGCACGGGGGGACTTCTCGGCAGGGACCCTCGGGGGCAGCAGGGCTCTCGGTCGGCAGCGGCCCTCCCCTGAGCTCTGGCGCCGTGGCAGAGCCGCAGCGTCGCGGAAGGTCACGACCGCGGCTCTGCAGTCGAGGCTGCCCTGCCAAATCAAGGGTATAATTACCCCTGTGTCCTGCGTTTCGTGACCCATGCCTGCTCCGTTCCTATGGCAGTGTGGCCCTCGGAAAGGTCTTGTGTCCTCTCGCGTGTCCTCTCCAATCAACCTCGACTGTACATTCAGATCTGGGCGCGTTGCCACTTGTTCACAACGGGCGGGCGTTTTGTTCGCCCAGTTTCGGGCCCCTGGGGCAATCGAAGAGCGATCGTGCGCGCAGAAAAATGGGGTCTACGGATAGTGTACTGTCGAGGTTGATTGGAGAGGACACACGAAAGGACACGAGACCCTTCCGAGGGCCACACTGCCATAGGAACGGAGAAGGCATGAGTGGAAGCGCAGGACACAAGATGTACACTTGATTTGCCAGGGTCGACCTACTAACCAGCCTCGGCTCTAGGGCTGCGGTCGCTTCCGCTGCGGCTCTGCCACGGCGCCAGAGCTCAGGGGAGGGCAGCTGCCGAACGAGAGCCCTGCTGCCCCCGAGGGTCCCTGCCGAGAAGTCCCCCCGTGCCCTCGGCGGTGAGAGCCTCCAGGGCGCCCAGAGGCCCTCAGTCCCGATCTCGGACGCCGTCACACTTTCTTGGCGGGGCCGACCTGCCAATCGGCATCGGCACTGCAGGCCCCATCTGTCTGCGGTGCTTAAGTCCAGCCCGAGAATTCTCGGGCTGGACTTCGCTCTGCGGTCCCAGACCCTCGGCGTCGTGATCTTTTCGCAACGTCGACCCCCAGAGGTCTGGAGCCCTGCCCCGGGACCGGTTTGCCGTCCTGAACCGTTTTTCGACGGCCCCGAGAACCGGGAAGGGCACCCAGACGCCGAAAGTAGCGCGAAAACCTCCCGTCGTGACCCTTTCACGACGCGAAGGAGTCTGGGATGGCCCCGGGATGCCCCCTCACAGGCGCGGACGCCCAGGCGGGTCGCACACTGCCAGGTCCTCGGGCGGGCGGGAGGGCGTGCGGGCATCAAAATAATAGAAAAATCGTTCCCTGAAGATTATTTCTCCACGCCCCCCAAGAGGCGCCAAGAGGCGCCCAAGAGGCCCCCAAGAGGCCCCCAAGGGACGCCCAACAGGCGCACAAAAGGTGTGAGGCCCCCAAGAGGCCCGCAAGAGGCCCCCAACAGGCTCAAGATGCCCCCAAGATGCCCCCAAGAGGCCCCCAAGAAGCCCCAAGAGGCCCCAAGAGGGCCCCAAGAGGCCCCAAGAGGCCCGAAAACAGCCCCCAAGAGGCCCGAAAACGGCCCCCAAGAGGCCCCAAGAGGCCTCCCACAAGATTCCAACGAACATCCACTAGACTTATAATCCACAACCCAGGCACGGTGGCGGGACTTGCCGTAGGCAGCTGGACGTATGCCTCGTGACGCGAGGCCAGGACCGGGATAAGGTCGGACTGGGGAACAGCGGGGATCCCCGAGACCCAGACGCCATCCAGTCATGACAAGAAATCGCGACGGAGGGTTGTTCGCTATTCTCGGCCTGCAGGGGCCCTCGCCGGGACCCAGGACCTCCCAAAAACGACTCGGGACGAAACGCCGGTCCCGGGGAATGGGTCGAGATCTTATGAAAATCATGGCGTCGGGGATCCCCGAGATCCGGCGGCTCTGGAGGGTGCATCGGGCGCCGCGGCTGGTCGAGACCGCTCCATACCCAGAGATCCGATGTCGTGTTTTTTTCAATGTGGGGTCCCCGGAAGTCTCGACCCACTCCCCAGGACCGGTTCTTCATCCTGAGTCGTTTTGTTGACGGTCCCGCGGCCCGGCGAGGGCCCCTGGAGGCCGAAAAATGCGAAAGACCTCCGTCTTGATTTTTCCAATGCGTTGGATCTCTGGGCAGCACGCTCCGTGAGCGCTGCGGCACGCTCAGGAACGTCTACCCTGAAATCCGACGTAGCGAAAAAATTGCAACATCGTGAAAATCCGCGCCTGGAGCCCCGGAGCCCATCTTTCTGCGTAATTTTTCGAGTCGAATCGATCTGTGAGGGTCCTGGGACCCGCAAGAAGGCAAAAACGCCCGGCTCGAAAAAATTGAGTCGCCAGGATCTCAGGGTATCCTGGTCCTGACCCCGCCCGGCTCGCCCAGAAAGCCCCCCGGATCTGGCGCACGGGCGCCCGGCCTGGAGGAGATGGGCAGCTCCGCGGCTGCTGCCCCCGGCGTGGGCGGCAGGGGCGTCGACGGCCCCGCCACGGGCTCGAGGAGGCCGCCCGAGATGCAGCCCTTGGTGGGTGGGGCGCCGCCTCCGCGGGCCCTCATCGGGGACAGCTGCACCTCGTCGGGCGCGGGGGTGTCGGGTCGGGCGAAAGGGGGGGATAGCAAAGGGGGGGTTGAGAATCAGCTCACGTAGCTGGCTTCCCCGGCGCCTCTCCTGGCGCCGGAGGCGGCTACGTATCGAGGAATGGGCCCCTCGGTGAGGCCGAAACCGGCTGCATGCAGCAAATTTCGCACCCCCCCCCTTTCCCAATCCCCCCCTTTCGCCCGGCCCGAGGGTGGAGCACGGGCCCCTGCCCCTCGCCGTCGCTCGGACGTCCACTCCTCGTGCACCGCTCGGCTTCGTGCGTGCACTTGCTCGCAGGGTGGCAGTGACAGCGACAGCGCCCGCACGAGTGTCCACGCGAGGGGACTAAGCGGGGCGGGGCCGGAGCGCCCAAAGAGGACAGGGAAATGCAGAAGTAAAGCTGGGGGCAAGGTACCACGTGCCATCACGACGAAGGAAGCAGGGTATCATGTGCAACCCCGACCTTGTTCGCAATGTGGGTGATCCGAAACGCTCCTCGAAGAAAAAGTGCACAAGTCCGGGCGATGCCAAGGCCCAGACCCCACTCGCGCTGCGGACAGATCGCGGCGGACGGCTTTGTGCTGTCTCGCCGTCGTCGTCGTCACCAAAATGACGCAGGAGGGATGGAAAGCTAGCCCCGGGGAGTTGGTCGACACGGCTGGGGGCCCCACGGCTGCGAGAAATGATCCAGGCGAAGGGCCCAACCATGTGCAGCTGTGGGTGTACCGCCCTATGGATGCAGCTTTGGGTGAACCTCCCCATGGGGCCACGAAGCGTGCGAGAGGTGTGCCGCAATTGGGCGGGGCCGCCGTGCGAACCGTGCCACTCGGGCCTTCGTGGAGCTCCCACGAACAGTGTGAGGGGTATGCCGAAGATGATGATTATGATGCTGCTGATGATGATGATGCTGATGATGATGCTGATGATGATTTTCTGGTGGTGATGATGACGCTGCTGACAGAAATGATGATGCTCATGAGTATGATGATGATGATGATGATGATGATGATGATGATGATGATGATGCTGATGATGATGATGATGATGATGATGATGATGATGCGGCTGCTGATGGTGTTTATGGTGATGGTCATGATAATGATGACGATGATGATGCTGATGATGATGACAATGCAAGTGATGATGACGATTATGATGATATTAATGATGATGACGATGATGATGACCCTGATATTGCCAATACTGATAATTATGATGACCATGCTGATGATGATGCTGATGAGGATGATGATGACCATGATGGTGATGATGATGATGATCATGATGATGCTGATGATGATGAGGATGATGAGGATGATGAGGATGATGAGGATGATGAGGATGATGAGGATGATGATGACAATGATGGTGATGGTGATGGTGATGGTGATGGTGATGGTGATGGTGATGGTGGTGGTGGTGATGATGATGATGATGATGATGATGATGATGATGATGATGATGATGATGGCCACGATGATGACGATGGTGATCATGACGGTTTGTCATCCCAAGCCGAGCCGTTTTTTGACGGTCCCGAGGCCCGGCAAGGGCACCTAAAGACCGACAACTGCGAAAGAGGTCCGTCGTAATTTTTGTCAAGACGTTGGATCTCTGGGCAGATCCCACCCTTCTGAGCCATTTCTCGAGCCCGATCGGTCTGTGGTGGTCCCGTAGGGCCCGATGCCGAGCGAGAACGCCCAGCGCGGGAAAATGGCAACGCCCAGGTCCAAGGGTATAGCCGAGCGCGTTCCACTACTCGCAAAGTAACTACTCTCCAATGGCCTGGATCCCCCCCTGGGGGATCTACGATGCATGACATCGAAGCAGACGTGTACTTTTCGGACGCGAGTAGGCACTTTGCGAGTAGTGAAACGCGCTCGGTGAAAGGGCAGCACGTCTGCCGACTGTGGTGCCGGACGCACCGCGGGCAGTACTGGGGACGCTCTCGGGGGGGCGGGAGCGTTGCGTCATTCGGCGGTGGACAGACCTCCCTTTGATAAACCTCCCTTTCGTGAAAACGGCCTGGGACCGAAACCGACGGACCTGGAAAATGACGGCCGCGACGCCCTGTCGCGAACAGAAAACGGGCAATTCGCTGTTCGACGTGTCAGGGTAGGAGGTCTATCAACCTCCGAGTCATGAGGGGGGAGGGAGAGAGCGGGGTGGGGAGAAGAGGGTGGATGTAACGCGCGTTGAGGCCCAAGGGTGAAAAACAATCTCTGGGGAGACCAAAAAGTACAGATACGGCTACTCCACGAAACTCATACCGGGACGCGTTCTGACAGGAGTCTCGAGGCGACTCCGGCGGCGACGACGAGGGCCCCCCAGGAAGCCCCAAAGGGGCAAAACGAGGGAAGGGTGGCGGTATGGGCATCTTTCCCAAACCCCCGACGTCTTGTGCTTTGCTTGCTCGCAACGTCGACCCCCACAGGTCTGGACCCCTTCCCCGGGACCGGCTTCTTACCCTGAGTCGTCGCTTGACGCTCCCACGGTCCGGCGAGGGCCCCCAGGGGCAGAAGATAGCGCAAAACCTCCCGTCGGGGTTTCTCTGTCTTGGCTCGAGGGGGTCCGGGGCATGCACTCCGCCAGGGAGCCCACAAAGGACGTGCGCGCCCAGCTAGGTACATGAACACGGCCCCTCGATCCACGAGACCGGCCGCGTGAGACGAACATTTGTGCAATGCGTGCTCTCCAAACCAGCGTGGATTCATGTACTCCAGATTTCGTAATAAAGGGAGGGGGGTCTCATTTCGGGGGGGGTCTCTTCCAGGCTATCTTGGAGGGCCTGGGGGCGTCTGGGGACGATGTTTTGGAGGGTTCTCCCACGGGGGGGGGTCTGATATGGCTTGTCTTGGAGGGTCCAGACCCCCTCCCTTTTACTACGAAACCTGGAATACATGTACGTCCTTCTTTCGCTCCCGATCCGCGGCCACCTTCAAGGGCTGCCCGTCGTCGGGCGCCTCCGCCTCCGGCGTGGCGCGCCGGGGGCGGCCGCCCGCGGCGGGCAGCGCCTCCGCCAGGGACAGGCACAGCACCGGGGCACCCGGCGCCTCGGGCGGGCGCTCGCCCGGCGGGGCCACGGCCTGCACGCGACGACGGCGACGACGACGAAGACGGCGGCGGCGACGACGGCGGCAGCGGCGGCGACGACGCCGACGACGACGGCGACGACGACGACGACGACGACGTCGGCGGCGGCGGCGGCGGAGACGAAGGCGGCGGCGGCGACGACGGCGGCGACGACGGCGGCGACGACGGCGGCGGCGACGTCGGCGGCGGCGACGTCGGCGGCGGCGGCGACGGCGGCGGCGGCGACGTCGGCGGCGGAGACGAAGGCGGCGGCGGCGACGACGGCGGCGACGACGGCGGCGACGACGGCGGCGTCGGCGACGACGACGACGGCGGCGGCGGCGAGGCTGCCGAAAGCCTGGGCGAGCGACACGGGCGTGGCCATCGCGCCGCAGGGAGCCCGGGGCGCCGTGTGTGCCCCCAATCGCCGGCGGCTCAATGATGGTGCTCGGGGGGCGGGGCCCCGGGACGACGAGGATCTCCAACGGTGCAGGTTCGACTTCCCTGCGGTCCTAGCGTCTCGATGCTTGCGGGCTGGGCGTTTCGCCCCGTCTCGCGCCTCGGGGCCATCGCAGATCGATCTGGCTCGAAAACTGGCTCAGACCTTGAGCTTCGGTCGCGGTTTGTTGTTTCGGTCGCGATTTTTGCGATGCTGCTTGCTTCGCAAGGTCGGATCTCTGGGCTGTGATCCACTTCCTACCCTTGGGCCCCATCCATCCCTCAGTCGGGCACTCGCTGGCATGGGTGATGGCTCCGCGGAGATCTGGTGCGTGTGCGCCAAATCCACACATCGGGCAAGGCACCGTCCGAGAAACGAGGCCGGTGCCGCCGCATTGGGCGAGGAAACGCGCCGATTCCGCGTAGGAGCGCGGCCCGTCGCTGATCCGCGCGCCTTCATCCCCAGAGATCCGATGTCGTGATTGTTTCCATGCGGTGTCCCCGGAAGTCTCGACCCGTTCACCAGCTGGACCGGTTCTTCATCCCGAGTCGTCTTCTGACGGTCCCAAGGATTTTTTCAATGCGTTGGATCTCTGGGTCCATGTCTGCCGTTTCTCAACTCCAGGACGATGGCGAGTTGAGGCAGCGGCAGCTCAAAAGTGTAAAACAGGGCTAGGATCGGGATAAATCGCTCCAGAGCGTTCCGGAGCGCTCTCAAAGCGTTCCGGAACGCTCTGGAGCGGCCGCGGCGCCCAATACATGCTCCAAACCCGCCGATTCTCAGAGATTTCGAATTATCCCGATCCGATTTTGTCCCGATCTTCGCGTCGTTTTAGTTGAGGCAGCGGCAGCTCAAAAGTGGCCCCCTGGACCCCTCCCAGGGTCCAAGCGCACAGGCTCTCCGCGCTGCGTCCGGCCATGGCCACGAGGGGGCCACCCGGAGGCCAGAAGCACCGCTGCCCCAGCTCGCCCTTCTCTGCATGCTTGCCATGCTCAAAGATCCGACGTTGCGAAAAATTGCCACGTCGCGAGAAATCACGCCTGGAACGCTAGACCCCATCTTCCTGCGTCATTTCTCGAGCCGGGTGGATCTGTGAAGGTCCCGGGGCCCGAAACCAGGCGAACTCTCCTACGACCCAGACCCCCGACTTCATGTTTTTTCATGACGTCGACTCCCAGAGATCTCGACCCGTTCCCTGGGATTGTGGAAGTCGATTACATAATGCAAGTAATTCTCTTGATATCCAAAAAATCAAACATGTTTGAAATATGTGAAAACATGTTTAAAACATGTGTTGTACATGTTAAGCACATGTTCAATTCAATGATGGGATTGTTAGGGTGTCCATGGTCATGGCATCCACAACCCTGGGATATGTTTCTCATCCTGGGCCGTTGTTTGACAGTCCCGAGGCCCGACGAGGGCCCACGGAGGCCGAAACCGGGGAGAAGCCTCCACTCGCGATTTCTCGTGACCCGAAGGGGTCTGGAGACGAAACAAAAAAGACAACGCCTAGATCC